TGTAAATATTGTGCTGGATTGTAGCCACAGTCCTAATGATCATGATTAAATTAACTTACAACTTTTCAGATGTATTTCCATTTCAGATAAACTGCCAAGAAATGACTAAGGCATGCCAAAAGTATTAGCAACATGGTGTTTCATGGAGTGCAAATAAAGTAAAGCATAGTTAAAATATTTTCAGATATTGCATCCATAAGAGAGAGTAGTTTTAACTGTGATTTTGTTAGTTATATTACCTCATAAACATATAGCAAAAAGCTATGTGACTGTTTAAACCAATTGGAATCCTGACACCATTGGCATAAATGCAACATAGTGAACTTCAGTTATGCAAAAGTTGCTCATGGATCTCAAAGTGGAGATTCAACTGTCCTGATGCAGCCTCTTGTGGGTCTCATGACTCAAATCATAAACATTAAAGGTTTTGGTACAAATGACAAATATCAACAGCCACTGCCCATATTCATAGGGGTAACAAAGGTGCTTCTTGACATATTAAGGTCTGGCCACATGCTCCGAATAAACTGACTGAAAAATTACCTGGCTAGAGTCCAAGAAAGATAAGGAGGGTAGGCAGAAAGAACAGAGGCAGAGGATGTTACAGGAAGTCCAGTGACACAGCCCAGCACACTGGCAGACTATCATCCAACTGGCAGAATGTTCGGTGTGTACCGCTGTCATTATTGCAGCATTGTGTGTGCTCTGCCACTACCTCTTGAAACGAACATGTGATTTCTGGACTTTCATTTTAAGACAAAGCCCAACCCCAGCCAGAATGCCACACACATGGCAATTTTACTCATCTCAACTTTAAGTGGATTCACATATCAGCCCTGTAAAAGTGACCCCTGAATTATGGATCTCCCACAATGAAAGTTGATGGCTGGACTGCTGAGTAAAATGCTTTAATGTAGACAACAATCACTGGTCATTCTTTTTTACGATGGAAGAAGAGCTGAGATTTAACACTCGATTTCTAAATCAAGGCAGGTGCAGGGAACAAATTTCCAGAGTCGAATGCATAATTGCTCTTCTGCCCAAAAAGATTAGAGTGGGGATAGCACTTAGTAAGTGAAAGAATGTGCATCTGTTTACAATGACTCAGTGTTTAATTGTAGTAATGACTATGTGAACAACACCAAACACGTTGGAAATCAATATTATAAACTCGGAATCTTTATGTTTACTTTATGGCTAATCTAGTCATTACTGCAGAAATCTAAAGCAAGCACTGCAGCTGTACCATGTTTAATTCATCAAGATGTTCTCTCAAGACTGACTGCCTCTCTGTTATAGCCACATAATTTTAGCACAGCATCTGCCAAACTTTAGTCTCTAGCATCTAGCTTTGTAAAGAACCATTAAAAGCCCCTCTTTAGTTGGCAAGTAAAACCACTTCTAGAATTTCTTTGTAATAAAAAAAACAAAGATGAAACAAAGCATTCACAGTTGCTATTGTGAAAACAACAGCCTTGAAAAATTAGAGTGGTTTATTACCACTCTATGCAAGCTGGATGCACAAAGGCAGTGCTGGCTCCAGGTCTTTGAAGCCCCGTGGGCAAGATACACCCCATGGGCCTCCTTTCACAGAAAGTCCATCTTCTCACTGTCATTGTTACCAGCTGCTACTGCTTCCGTCTCTTTCTCAGCATTGACAGACAAACCAAGAAAGTAGGCCATGGCATCTGCTGCTCCTCCCATTCACCATCACCTCCGTTAAGGCCAGAACAAGCTGCAGGTGGACATGCAGCTTCCAAAGATGAAGAGGAGATGCATGAGTGGGCACCCAGCCAGACCTACTCGTGATGCTGGCCCTGCACACCAGCCAAGACCTGAAGATCTCTCTGGGGAACTATTATGTATGATGTGGGGCATCCTGTCCCCCAGATGAAGTCCCTGTGCTGCTTGAAAATCACTACAGAAAATACAGAGGGAATGAGGAAGCTGTTTCTCAAACTTTGTGAGGAGTCAGGATTGGTAAGAAGCACTTGAGTGTAATCAAGTGACACTTTGTGTCCTCGCTGGTGGATAGCTACTGGAACTGTAGGAGAAGCTAGTCCTCTGCTTGGCTAGTCTCACAGTGAGCTGGACTTCATGCATGTCCCAGCCCGGGGTAGGAGAAAGAGAATATTTTCAGTTTGCTGCTGATTTTTAGTGGCAAACTGCTAAGGAAGCCTAAAGCATCCAAGTCTCACTTCTTATCACAGCTGGATTGCTCGTTTTAGGTTTCCAAAATAGGAAAATCACTTGGAAACAGGTTTACTTAGTGCTTGGGAGGGGGTTCCGATGTGAAATTTTGGTGACTTGGGGGCACAGAGGACACAGTGTGTTGAAAAAACTGCTTGTGGCCCATGATGCTTGCTTTGCCCACCACAAGTTTAGAAAGAACTAGTTACCCAAAAAGTAAGAATAATAATCACAGTGGATATTTTTAAACAGTGCTGGCAAAATAAGTGGTGGCCTGCTTCTACCCATGCATAAATAAAACTATATTTACAGCATAATACTATGCATGTTTACTCAGAACTAGATCCCACTAGGTGATGTAGTAACAGCTACCAACTTGGATGGATGTGAAATGGGATTAGACAAATTCATGCATCTACGCAGAGTTACATCCTTAATGTGTTGAATTAATTTACTGTGGCATAAGCACTGATCATCTGAGATTGTTCAAATAATGTTCAGTTCACATTACACTCATAACCAGGGGATGCTCAATGCCAACCTCTACACCACCTTTTACTCCAGAGCGATTTTGCCTCGTCTGGCCCACCATCAAAACCTTGTTTGGCATTACCTGAGCCCAAAAATTAAATATTGCTAATACAAACCAGGTTCCCTAAAACCTGTGGTGTGGAAATCCATTCAAAACATCCTTATAAATTAATATTTATGAATCAATCAATCTCCTTGGCTTACAAGAAAACCATGGTTTGTTTTTCTCATGATTTTCTTTGCTACCAAAGGGAAAATGCATCACAAAGCAAACTGCAGGAACAGAAGAAAGTGCAAAAAAGTCAACATAGAATGGGTTGTATTTGAATATATAGCATTTTAATTGTATAACCCAATGCATGTTTAGACGGACAAAGGGCCTACAACTCCTAGCATAGCCCAGGTACCAGGCTGACTGGGGCATGCTGTGAATGATGGACCTTTTTTCTGTCCAAAAGGACAGGATTGCACCTTTGGTAGAGCAATTACAGAACTTATTTTATAAAAAAAAAACTTGTCTAAAATCCTAGCTTCCATGAAGATATTATTAGATTATCCCTTGTGATTGAATCTTCTTCCATTTATTCAGCAAATAGTACTTTATAAGGTGACATCTGACACTGCAGAAACTCAATCTCCTAGAAGGGCACCCAGGTGTTCAGTTAAAATTATTTCTTTATTTTCATAAAATTTGTTCTATTTATTACGATCCCTAGGAAGAAAGAGGTAATATGAAACTACAAACAGTTGATAACAACAGAGCCAGGTCCAGGTTTAACAGGTCCTGGGCAAATTGCTCTTCAGTAGGTCCTGACACAGCTACTTGGCAGAAGCTGTCCTGAGACTTTTGTAAGGATGGGATACCAATCCAAAACGTACTAATGTTCACCACGGACCTTTAAGGTTCACCCTTATGGCTAATACAACATACATTAAAGAGTAACTTGTAAATACTGCTTTAAGCAAATACTGCTTTAAGAAATTTGTATATAAGAGTGCACCAAATATTCCATCGGTTAGTTATTTATGGGCTGCAGTTATAAATTGTTTGCCAAAACATTTTGAAGAACTAGTCACCACAGTTTTCCCTATCAGCCAGTGCTTCATTTACTCTTCTGGCAGGCTAGAGCTTCTCTTTTCCTCATTATGTATATGGGTGATCGGTGTACCTCAAGGATCAGATAATGAATGCAATGGCATAATGATACTATGATGCCAACTACATTTGGCTATGTCCTTCTGACATTACACAAGGGCAACATCCATTCAGAGTGAGACAACAGCTTCTGGATTAGGGAGATAACTAGCCAATAAGAGGTGATATGAACAAAAATTCGGTGAATAAAATAGTGAATGAAATTCAGCTTCATTCTGATATTTGCAAACAAGGTCTGCTTAGAGCAAGGGTAATGCTTCCTAAATAGCTTAATGTTTTCAAAGCAATTATTTCAACTTAGTCAAAGGAGGAGGATGTGTTGTTCTTGTTGCTGCAGTGGAGAAGACATGCATGAACATGAGTGACTGTTTTCAGATGAGGGCTACAAAAAAACCCAAGAGTGGCGCCCTGACTTCTTTACTACCCTGTTGTTACATTGTGTGGAAGCAACTGCTTTTGAGGCAGTGTTAAGGATGTTGTTTCTGCTTCTACCTAAACCTCATCTGTTCCACACTCCTGACTTCACTCCCTTTGCTCTCCTTCCTTATTCTTGACTTTTATTTCCCTGCTACTGTGATAGTAGTTACTTACAATGATTTGGAGTACATTTGAAAAAATGTGGCATTTCAAGACACAAAAAAAGAAAGAAAATATAGAAAAATTCCCCTAGAAGCAGGGGACCATGGAGAGCTGTCCACAGTGAAAGCATCAGGAAGCTATGAGCGCACTCCACCGTACTGCAGCGAACATTCCTAACAGTGACAACCATGAACTCTCAATGCTTCCTGACTAGGGACTTCACTTTCCCCCTTTCATCAAAAAATTAAAAAATGTTCTAGAAACAGAAAAAGTAAGGTGTCCTGTCTATCTAAAAACACAAACAACAATTATAGCTCATTTGCACTTTTCATATAGGGCTCCTTTCGTGAAATATCTTGATGTAAGTGCTAACTGACCTTCAATTAACATAGCAAGAAGAGATCTATTTGCTGTGGTTAGAGTTTTCTGCAAAAAGGAAGTTATTTTTTATATAACTGACAAATTGAAGGCAAAATGGACTGTACACAATATAAAGGAAGTCTGATAATTCCCACAATGACATTTGAGGTGGAAAAGACAATACCTTTGTTTTATCATATAAAGCGTGGTTATCCAACATCATTTTCTTTTCATGGGTGGCATATCTGCGCAGGTCACGTTCAAATTGCTGCACATATATAAAAGTCTCAGCGTTATGATAACAATGCAAAATAGGTTTCTAAATTCTAATAGGCTAAAAGGACACCCTTAAAGAAACTGAAGTGTTCTCAGTTTTAAGTATTAAAAAATATTCAGAGCATTGCCTTAGCAGGACTGGAGCTGAAACATACTTCACTGGCTTGAGGTTGATGCACACAAGTGTACTACTTGCAGTGGCTTTAAATTACAGGAACAAGAATGATCCCTTAAAGCTGGTATTAAGACAGAGTCACCATTTAAAAGCAAGTCTGTCAGGTCCCTATTACTGTACAGATAACATTAAGAAATATGAAATTGCAATCATACATTACCCTCTTCCCTATAATGAAGGTAGCCTGCCGTTCATACGAGTTCCATAATGGATGCTCACCCAGAGGGATTGTTTTTTGACATGCAAAATTGCATCACATTAGCTTTGTCTGTGACTGACTGCCTTGCTGATTGTTCTAGTTTTATAAGAGGAGATGGTTTAATTTAAAAACATACTGGACTCCATTTGCTTGTGACTCACACAATTTGTCTGAGTCAAAAAGCTTAGATGCCTACACTTTCTTAGTGATCACAAAAGTTTGCAAAGCTCTTGATAGAAGTGGAAGTTTGCCTAGAGGCATTGAAAAGACACCGTAGAAGGAACACACCACACACAGTGTTGTGTTCAGGCTCAGAAGGCAATCCAACAGGGGCCTAATCAGACATAATTCCCATTGATTTCAATGCTTCTTACTCCCAGCTAAGTGTATAGGATAGCAGTGTAAATGTCTGGGAGTCCCAACAGAGTGCATCCTGGTGCAACAAGGTCCACTGACCACCCCCCTGGCACCCATCAAGCCCCCTGCAGCTATCCTAATTTTTATTTTTATTGTTTCATAACAATAATTTAGAGGAAAAATCAGAAGCCAGGTTTCTTTCAAACTGAAATGCTAGCTTCCAGCACTGCTTTTATTTCCCCCTAATACCTCTGGAACCCAGAAAAACACGTGTATCAGACCAAAAAAAAAAAAAAAAAAGGAACTTGGCTGCAGGCTGGTGCTTTATTTCAAGGCTTTCTCAGTGCAAAAAAGGGGAAGGTGTTCAGAGGGGCCAGAGGAATGACAAGAGGAAGGAGAGAGAAAGGAAAGGACAGGAGGTGTGAGCATAATTTCATTTTGATATTTCAGCAAAGTTTGCCATTCTGAAGATGTGAAAATATTTTCACAAATGGTTTATTTTTCATTCTTCTTCAGAGTACTATATTATCTCCTGGATAGCCTAAAAATTAGTGAGTTGACTAAGACTACCCACTGAGCATCATAAGATCATCAGTGATTGTGCTGTGTGCTAAAAATATTTAAGAAATCACTGCAAAGCTCAGGTGCTAGGAAGTTTAGCCATTAATGTTGGAGGAAATACTAATTTGAAAATAAATTATACCTCTGGCACAGTGGAAATTTTTTAGGTTTAGAAGTTTTTTTTTCTTTTTGCAAATGAACCAACCATGCACTTTCCCATTCCCCAAATTATGGATAAGCTTATGAGAACATTTTCACATTTTTCTGTACAACCATGAAAACTAGAAACATGCAAGTTTGAAACAACAGCTGAGTTTCCTACAAAGATTTTAAGAGAATGGCGGCTCAAGAAGACAGTTTCCTTTAAAAATGCATCTCTAATTTCTAAGGTCTCCCAAGAAAAGCATCAAAACTAAATCTAAAATAACATTTAAATCAATAAGCAACCTGAAAGTTATAATTGGTATGTTATGTTTATGTAGCTGTACTGTTCAGGTTCCTGTTTTGTTTGATTTTATGGTCTGTCATATGTTGTACACTACCCTAAAATTTTATTAGATAAAGTGGGATATAAAATTATATGATTTAAAAGTCACCTTCAGTGTCTTCCTTCCCCTACCAAACATACATTCCATCCAGAAATGGTATAGCTTAGAAGTCCCTTTAAGACTCATTTCCAGAGTATGTTAAGAGCATCCAACTTGGTGTGCCTGGATATGGGGGGCAGCATGGACATAATTTCAGTTTGGAGGAAGTGTTGGCAGCTGCCATGGAGCATGTCAAGTCACAGCATGGCTGCTATGGCAAATCACAAATGTACCAGTGCAACATGCCACCTTTTCCAAAGATAGGTAAACTGGTTAGACTAAAAGAAAATGAACTTTCCTAGGCACCTGAGTACAAGGTAGTGTTGTGGATGTGATCCCCAAGACACTTGGTCTCTCACACATGCACTTTCTTCCTCAGAAACTGTCACCATGGTCCCCCAGTCTGAATCAGGACTGGAGGGAGCTGCCACAGTTCTCTGCTATGGTCCCAATCTGGACCCACATATGTGGGTTACCGTTCCAGAGAAGAGGAAATCAGGTTACTTACCCTAGATCCAGTCCATCCTAACAGAGCATAAGCATATTGTTCAAAGGGGCTCACAACCAGATCTACACGAATTGCTTTCCAGTCTTTCATTTCTTCCTTAGAAGTAGTAGACATAGTGGAACTGCCGTCATCCATTCTTTCCTTGGGTAATTTTAAAATGGCAAAGCATTTCTGAAAATGATCTAAAGCATCAACATTTCTGCTAGGCTGCTTTGTCTTTTCAAAAGTTGATTCAATCAGATCATAATATAAGAGCAGTCCCTAGGAAAAAAAATATAGTTTGCAGCCCATTATTTTAATGCATTAATAATCCCGTACATACATCTTACTCATAAAGCAGATAAAATACAGTGGTTTAGGACTCAAAATTAGAGACTATCAAACTGGAGCAAATAATAATTTGCCCAGGCATTACAACAAGGTTTAAGTTGGAATCATGCACTGCAGGGGCCTTTTGGTGTAGCTGGATTCTAAACCATTTCAGTCAGCGCTATTGAAAGGAACCGTATACATCAGGCAAAATAAACAACAACTTTCAATAGCAGCAGCACCACTTCCTAATCAACACTGACATTGTTGAGAGAAGCAGGGATGTATGAGAAATCCATTCTATTTTGTTTTTGAATCAGATTTTACTCAGTTTGCTTCTTCTGGACCAAACTCAGACTTGGATAAAATCTGCAACTGAAGTCAGCACACTTCCAAACCTGGCATACAATTCCAGTTTTTTGGAAAATGTGTTTGACAGCCTGCATCCACTTGAAAAAAGTGCATGAAAATGTGTATTTTTGGAAAATGCAACCAAACACACTTGCATCCATGGGAAAAGAGTGTGTACATTTCAAAAATATACATAACTGATGCATAATTTTGTTTTTCATGTGCAGGGAAAAATAACAAAGTTCACAGTCTGATATGAATTCAAATTGGAACATCTTGAGATGGAATCTGAAGAATTTTGTCAAGCATGATTTGCTGATTAATGGAAGGAATCACACCCATACCCATGTGGTTCCCCCTCTCTGATGCAGTGAATAGCATGTGATGTAAGAACTCTGTCTCTACTCCAGCGATCTAGGAAATAGGTCTTTAATAGCCTGACAGAAAAATCTGCATTTGTTATAACCAGGTAAAATGCTTTTTGGGAAATGATTAAAATATAATTCCTGTTTTTTGGGGGGTAGTAGATTTCTAGATATGAAAATATTAAGACCATCTGTTCAATCCAGAACGTAAGCCTTAAGTAAAAGCTTCCAGATTAATTGTTAGCATCAGTCTAGAAACATTGGTTCAATAATTCAGGTGCAATACAGCATTTCTCTACTGTAGTAGTAAGCAAGATGTGGTTCATTCTGGGCGGCAGGCAAACTAAAAGATCACGTTTGTGCAGCACATAGACTCTTGTCATGGAACTCCAGCTTTAAGTAACAAATAAGGTTAAAATTTATCATCACAGTTACATAGATCACTGTATAGTTACATGTAGTTAAGCACATTGATTTCAACAGGTTGAATCCCACTTAATTAACTGATACAGTCCTGGGTCTCTAGCCCTTATAAGCACAGAAAATTATATAGGCAAGATCTGTAACACAGAGATAACAAACAATAATTTTTAAAGCTCTCAAATTTGTAACACTTCCAGATAGCACAACCTCAAATCGATCTCTACTTTTAGTAGCAGACAGTCCAAAATTTCCCTCAAGATTTCTCATATTTGAGTTCAGAACAGACAATGTTAGCCACTACTATTCTGAAAGTGGTACATAGATGATGTTAAGTATAGGGTTGGATCCAGACAATCCATGCTTAGAATATGTCCACTAAAATCAGTGGGACTTAAATTAGTCATGACTAACTTCAATCCAACCGATTTCAGTATATCTACTGAAATAACTAAGAGTGCAATCCTATGCTCGTTTAAACAGGAAAAAAAATACTGGCTGGAGTATGCTGGAAGTTACAGGCCTCTTAGTTGCAGTCTAAATATGCATTGGACTGTGCTTTGGATATAATTAGATCCAACACACGTGGATTTCAAGATGCTCTATACTGTGTCATCTCCTGACACAATTTGATATTTACTCCCATTTTTTAAAAAAAAATCTGTTGAATTTTTGGCTTTTTGTGCTACCTCAGAATTTTATTTCTGAATATCATTTTTGCTACACATTGTATTGTTTGGATGCTTCTAGCAGTAGCATCTCATTGTTCTTGTTTCAGTTTTTAACTGCCACATCTTCTGTACACAACCAACTGAGATGATCCATTCATCACAACAAATCCATACTTCCAGTTTTGTGCTTCAGATCCATTCAGAGGACACATTGCTCCCTTTGGGTGACTCCACGTAATTATAAGCCCATTAAATAAGTTAGCAATCAAGCTTAGCCATGAAGCATTCTTTTCCCCTTGATGACTGAATAATACAAACTCAAGTGGATACAGTTTCAGAATTTGCAGTTGGTGCTGGGTAGAGAATATGATGAGAAGGGCATTTCAAGAATATACACCTTTAAGTTATTCCTATTGCCGTCTCACCAGTAAGAGGCTTAGCAATTTGTAAAGGTAAGTAGGAAGAACATATAAAGACAATCAACATGCAAATACCTACATCAATGTTTTTCTTTTCTAAAAATGCAATTAGGCAACTGTTACATGGGTGCTTACTTCAGCAAGCAATTGAAATCTGACTCAGAGTCAGAATGCCACTTTAAAATAATAATCAGGGCCTAGGAGGATATCCACTGGGACAACATTTCTGATTAACATAATTTGATGAGGCACTGGACAATACCCTTGATTCACATAATGTTGCTGAAACAGCATTTTTCTAGGTTGCAAACAGATCTTTTTAGCGAAAGACAGCAGTAAAAACAATGCCTGTAATCTGAACATGTTATGCAACAGAAAGCTAAAAATCACTCCATGTTCATTCTGATAGTATCTCTGGGCCAAAGCAGATTTTAATTCACATCCCCATCTAGCAGCTGTACCTTAAAAATAAATATAATATTCCAGAGCAGATGCAGGCCCCTCCCTCACAATACAGATATGAACCTTACTGCCTTGTCAGCACCACTGCAAATTTTCACATACGGGGTGGGAAAAATGAAGAAGTCTATGCACACTCAGCTGGCTTTCCAATGGCAGAATGGAAGAGAATGCGCCTAGGTTTCCCCATAGAACGTTCTGTCCAGTGCACAAAGCTCAAAGCAGAGGCTGGGTTGCTAGAGCAGGGACAACCAATGCATGACCTTTCTACCATCTCCATGCAGTTTTTAAACATATGGAGAATCATTTCTAAGTAGGGTTAAGGCCTGAAGAAAAAAAACAGGAAGTTTTTGAGAAGAGGATGATTTGTCTTGTTTCGGCATCCTGTTCCTTCAAAGCATACTGCAATATCTATAGTTCTGTTTCTCAGTTCCAACTCTCAGGCGGTCTTTGTATCCTGTTGAAGCAACAGTTTCCCCCTCATGCACACCTTCTAGTGAGGCATGAAGCCTTCACCCCATACTTGGTCCAGAAATAAGGCATTTCAAGTGCCATGCTTCTTGCTCCAGTTTCTCCATTGCAGTGGCTTATCCTTCAAGGTACAGTCAAAGGACCAATTGATGCTTCCAAAAAGTTCCTAGTAGAAGTCAAACCCCTAAGCAACAGACATTCACCCAAGAAATCCAGAATGCCATTTGGGGTCCAGAATTAATTAGAAGAGTTTTTGGGGTTAGATTTTATACATTCATTCATTCATTCATTCATTCATATTGCGATTTATATCCTGCCTTTTTCCTACAAAGGGCTCATGGCAGCTTACATGATCTCTCCTCCTCCATCTTATCCCCACAACAACAACCCTGTGAGGTAGGTTGGGCTGAGAGTCTGTGACTGGTCCAAAGTCACCCAGTTGGCTCCATGGCTGAGTGGGGACTAGAATCCAGATCCTCTGAGTCCCAGTCCCATGCTCTTCACCACTACACCACACTGGCTCAACACATGTTCTTTGAGGTTTAGCTGGTATTGCAGAGTTGGGTCCAGGTGCTGCTAATTCAGTCATGTAGACAAGTCAATCCACAAGGTGAATAGGCTTGTGGGGATGAAATTCTGTATTAATAATAAGGTATAATAAAGCAGCTGATAATTTCCTTCCAGAAGAACTGCTTGCACTAGGAGGATTCAGTACATCTAAAGAAAGATGTGATATTTACTGGAAGACCAAATCAGTGAACCTGAAGCAATTTATGACATTGTTGGTGGAAGCTCAAGCTAGAAGTCTCCCTTCCTGCAGCTAGAAGACCAACACAGAGAAGGAAAACTCCAAGCATAACAGAGCCTGATCATCATATTGAGGAGAAAATGAAAAAGAGTGGGTGGCAGGAGGTTCAAAATGCTGGTACAGTTCTAAGCTTGCTGCCATCCTTAAGTCAACTTTTCATTTATTAGAAAGTGCATAACAAAAAGAGGACTGTATCTGAAGCAGAAACCCCTTAGGACTGTTGATGATCCTAAGCAGATCTTACTTCATGGCTCCCCTTCCACCACATAAGGCAGAGATGAGGAAGTGCAAAGGTAGAATTCCAACTGGTCCTCAGGGGCACATTTAATTTGTGGATGGGGTCAAGGTCAAAACAGACATGGCCAAAATGTTATCTTACCAAATTTAGTACTACTCAGGAGTAAGCATATATCTTCTGCATGTCTACTCAGAAGTACACATAACAAGCTTCAGGAGTATGCAGGATGGAATCATACCATGGGCCTCACCCTTTCTCCTTGGCAGGGAAAAGCTCTTATCTCTGATCAGCAGCTGATCAGAAATGAGAACTTTTCCATGCTGAGCATGGAGAAAGGGAGCTTTTAGTCAGAGACGAGAACTGTTCCCTGCTGGGAGTGGGAGTTGTCACCTCTGGAAGAAGGCCAGATGGAGAACCCCTGTGAGCTGCACCAGAGGCTTCCCATTTCTTATATAATGGAATATGTAAAAAATAGGCTATAATATGAAGATTAGAATTAAGGGACAGGCTAGCTGACAGTAAACTAGACTCTTTCTGCATTGGCCACTTGGTTCTAGAGCCTTGCATTCGGTTCTTCATTTCAACTGCTGTGGCAAACATAAGCATATTAACCCAGCCAAGACATATGATTAACAGCTGATATATACTTCAGATCATGTCCTGTTTAAGTTCACACCAACTATATTTTGTACTTGTACAACAAAAAAGAGTCTAGTGGGACATCACTTATCCTTTATAACATCTGAGAGC